CCTACAGTAATGGGTAGAATCTGAAAAACAAAAGGTTTACAGCATTAATAATAATGACAGTTATTTATTGACAGTTTACTTAGATTCAGTTTGTCTGGGCACTTGGTTGTTGCAGCTGCATCGGATTCCGATTCAAAGTGGCCTCAGTCTGCAACATAGAATTGCTCCACTTTCTGAGGCTGTCACCATTCAGAGGCTGTCTCCCAAAGCACCTCTAGGTGAGTATGAACCTCTAATTTTCTGGCTAATAATTGAGTACTTAACCATTTGCACCAAGATATTATTACTTCTTTTTTTTTTTAATTACTTCATTTGTTAAGAATCTTGCAAAGCAAATATCCCTATTCTACAAACGGGGAAAATAAGGATGAGAGAGTTTAGATGCTTGTCCAAAGGCATAATCAGTACAAGAGAAGAGCCACAATCCCATCATTCATATGCCTCCCCCTGTACCCCTCTCAGATATTGACAGGTCTTTGTTGGTTAATATAATAGCTTCATTATCTTCAAATTTTTAATGGCTGCATAAACATATTAATTATCTCTTAATTATTCCTTCAAGGCAAATACAATTTTAAATTAGCAAAAATTCCTCAGGGTCCCAAATTCAGGTCAATTATTCAGATGAAGAATATGCCACACCAACTCCAAGGGAGTCTGCGTGACAAAATCATCCGATTGAGGCGAAAACGTCAAGGAAGTCAGCCTCTCGGAACGTGTGCTTTCTCCATGATTGTTCTTGGCCTTTCTGTAATTTCTCTTCTATTGTCTCTTTGTGTTTTCTATGTGGGACAGAGAAAAAAGGCTGTGTTCTTTACACAAAGTGTTCCTACTAAAAGTTTGTTAGATGTTCCCAGAAAGAACTAAATGGAGGTGATGACTTTGATACGCAAACATTACCTCCAGTTCTTTTAGCATTACTAAAACTTCTCAAGAATAATAGGATTTTAAGGGAATTCATGGATGCATTATAACAAAAAAGAATTAATGGTGGAAATCATAGAGATAACCACCCCAGAGATTCCTAATTTCTAGGGCTTATAAGAACTCCTTCAAAGGAAAAACCCAAACCCTTGCCCCCCACCATGAGAACACCAGGTGGAAGAATTGTTTATCTGTTAGGTAATGGTTGTTTGTGGCAGCCCCCTATTGGGAGAGGCCCTTACAGAATTCCAGAGCCTACAGATAAACCTCTTCCATATACTGGAAAATATGATTAATTTAATGCAAAACACCTTGATGGTTTTTGGGATATGTTTTTCAAAAGGTTTGAAAGTGACCAGAAGGAAGATGTTATGAAAGGTATAAGTGGTAAAATAAATCTGAAACATGAAATTGGAATGATGAATTAAGCGATATTACCACCCAAAACATCTTTTGTATAAACCTAAACCCCCTTATTGAAATAGTGATCACCCCTAGAATAATGGAAAGTGTAAAAGTGTTGTCTTTTGAATGGAAATAAATAATATTGCAGATTCAGCTGAAAATGTAAAATGTATCAGCTTAAATTTAAAATGTAACTTTTTTACTTTGTAACTTTGTAACCCAAGCAAATTGAAGAACAGGTTTAAAAACAAGTTAAAAAAAAATGTTTAAGGGAAAAGCCATTGTCTACCAAGCTCTCCAATTACCAAAGAACCATGACCGTAAAGAATAGCCTTTCATGCTCTCCAAGAAACCATGACTATAAAGAATAGCTGTGTACAAGAAAATAATGCAAACTTTATTTTTTACTTTTGTTGTTTTTCTGGCTGTTGATTAAGTCTCTAATTGTAAAAATGGAGTATAAATGTATCATGTTAAATGTAATAAGCAGGAAAAGGAAAGAGAAAAGGAAAGGAAAGGGGAGGAAGAAAGAAGAAGGAGAATTAGAATGACTTAGAATTAAAATCATCAAGATCACTTGACTGTTTGTCTTGTGTTCTTTCATCGTCCCTTTGCTGAACTTCTACCCACCTTCATGTTCCCTCTTCGAGACCCTAGACCTCAGGCTTATAAGCCCCTCCCAACTGGAGCAGCCCGCGGCAAGAATACGCATAAATTTTATGAATAAATAAAGCTCCAGAATGAATAGAAGACAAAGCAGTAGCTCATTAGGATGTCTGTCACTATTTTATTTACGGTTCTTTCAACAATGCAAAGTAGTCTAATAATTCTCACGAGGGAACTACGGTAACATCCTATTTGTTTAAGCATTAATGACATATCAAATGAATTTCTCATGATCCTTATTAAGAATAACTACCATCTCCCCCAGCCCACCCCCACCCTGCTTCCTGTTTCTATTTTTCAAGAAATTCATAAGGTCCAAAAATCTGGCTTTTAGTTTCAATAAAAATTACAGAATAATTCATCACTGAACTGGACAGACTATCATACTGATGTCCCATGATTTAAAACAGTGGTATTACTGACTATGAAAACTAAGAATTAAAGATATGGTTGTAGCAACTTAAGCAGATGACTATAGCCATTACAGAAGAAACACTGCTAATTCTAAAAGGTATCGTTAGCAATGACAGGAATAAATGTGGAAACAAAAATAAATTATTTCGAGAAATGGATATAAATCACAGAACTTCAAGAGTTATTTGCTGACAGTCTTACTGGCAAAGGAGGGAAAAGTAAAGATCCAGTATCTCAACTACTGGTTAGTATAGCAAGCAATGATATAATCACAACAATTTGGAAGATGATTAGAAGTTAAGTGAGAAAAGCTGAGGTGTTTTTTTTTAAATTTTATTTTATTGTTTTTGTGTGAGTGTACCGTCAAATCAGATCTGACTGGTACAGGAGGAGATTGTCCCTCCTTCCTCGGCAGAGCATCTGGTGGATTCGAACCGTGAGCCTCTGGGATTGTAGTTGCAGCTCCTTACCACTAGGCCACCAGAGCTCCCCAAAAGCTGAGTTCTGATTAATAAAAATGGAACATGAGTACAGGAACTGGAGAAAAAGCCCGTGATTGCATAAGATTCAAAATGAAAAACTGTACCAGAACAGAACTGAGAGCCTTTTAGAGTATTTATCACAGTAGGGAGTAATGAGGCATTTTACAACCTAACTGGGTGACTAGAAATGGTCAAAATGCATAAATCTTGGCATGCACAACAGTATGCTTTAATAAAATTTAAATATCTAGATATAAATTAGTCTCAAAAATGAGAAAACTAGGATTCAGAACAACAATGTTCTTAAGGTCAGAGGTAGGAGGATATTGTAGGAGGACACTAAGGAAAAAATGTAACAGCACAATGTAAAAATCTTAACAGTTAATAAAGGAAGTAGTCCTTCAATTGTTATTGAATGAGCAGTTGAGCTCCTCTCTGTTCTCTGAGTAACAAAGTAGCTAAGATTCAAGAACAAACTTCAGGCGAAGCTCTTGAGTATGTTGTTGGTACTGTTCTGTGCCATGAATTCAATTCCGACTTACACCAACTCCATGCAGCAGTGCAGAACTGCCCATTGGGGCTTTCTTGGTTATTCTCTGTCTGATGCAGATCACCAGGTCTTTCTTTTGTGGAGCTACTCAAATGCACTATCACTGAGTTGATTCTGAACAACACAGACCCTTCACTGGGTTTCTGAGGCTGTAAATTTTATGGAAGAAGATTGTCCATCTTTCTCCCTCAGAGGATTTGTTGGACTTCAACTGATGATCTTACGTTTAACAACCAGAACATAGCAGACTACATCACCAGGTCTCCTCACAGAGTCACCGGTAGGTTTGAACTGCAGACCTTTTACTGTACAGCTGAGTAATTAACCACTGTACTACGGGCCTCCTTATGAAACACACAGGAGAGCTCTTACGTGGAACAAGAAAACCAGGCAGGAATTGCTTTTGGAAATATGTGCAAATCATTCTTGCATACCAAAGTGACCAGGACTTCTGTCCTGACAATTCTCAGAAGGGAAATAAACCAAGAGAAGGTTACGGTTAAAGGCTTAAACTTTTTGAATTAATCTTATTTCCTCTTTAAATTGAAAAGCATTGAGTTGCAGCAAAATCTCTGCATTGTTTTCTTATGAACCCAGGTGACTCAAAAGCAGAACAGGATAAGGCTCTGCTATTCCCACGTTAGCAAACCAGGAAGGACTGTTTCTGAAAAAAGGCCATTCCTCTAGGTTCACTGCAGACAAATCTATGTCTTATGTTTTTATTTACTAGCAATACTTACTGTAATGCATTGCATACGACAGATGATTCAATAAATTAACTGAACACTGCCATATCTTTAAAGATATTTCTAAAAAGTCATGTTATTATGTACCATCAAGTCGCCTGCGACTTGTAGTGATCCTACATACAGCAGCTCTAAAGGCCTGTCCTGAGTCAGCCTCACTAACTTAGACACACCAACCCCCATTGTCCCATCTCATCCGGGGTCTTCCTCTCGTGCACTGTCCCTCCAACCCTTCCAAGCAAGATGTCCTTCTCTAAGGACTGGTCCCGCCTTGCCATGTGCCCAAAGTATGTGAGATAAAGCTTCAAAATCCTAGCCTCCAAGGAGAAACTTGGTTTCACCCTCTCCAAGACAGATCTATTTGTTTTCTTGACAGTCCGTGGTATGTTCAAGCCTCCTCCCGCACCATAACTCGAAGGCATCAATTCTTCTGTCATCCTTGGTCACTGTCCAGCTCTCTGATGACTACGGCCTGGATCAGGCACACCTTAGTCTCTAGATTGACATTGTCGCTTCTTAGTTGTCTGGATAATAATTTAAATTGGGGGCTGGGGAAGAATTTTTAATAACTGCAGAAATAATTAGCATTTTTCCAAAAGGTTAATCAATACATTTTGACACAAATAACATGCATACTATACAATTTTTGCAAACTACCTCAAGCTTATGTTTCCTACACAAACCACACATTATATGTGTATGCATGTTATATTAGAAAATACAGCACATAGAACTCCCCTGAATTAATGAAAATAAGTTTTCACATGGCTTTTACATTTAATAACAAGAAAATAAGCCACTCACCTTAAAGTAATTTTCAGTGATCAACATCTGCATCTTCAAACTGCCCAGCAACTGTAGGCGTAGTATCTACCTCCATTCCATCTGAAGAAAAGAATTGGATAAAATTCAACTTCTATTTCATTCAAAAGAAAGCTAGCACCCTCTGTTGGTTAAAAGCGGCTACATAAAGTTGGTTAAAATTAATTTAGCCATTAACTTTGAAAATTCTCAATCTTAATCCTAAAACACTTATATAATTAAACAAAAACTAAGAGTGAAAAACAAATCTAACACTATAATTTAAAAAAAAAAACAACAACCAATCAAAACAAAGCCAAGATAACTCTGCTGGGAGTTATCAAGTTATGAAAGAGCTCTAACCAGCAACATCCTCAGTCTCTGGCACGCTCAGACCCCTCACAGCAGTGACTCTGTCAATTCACCTCCCTGAGGGTTAGCAGCTTGAAGTTTTTCAGATTTTGGTTGTCCTGTTTTTACTGTTAGATGCTTCTGCTCATAGCGACTCTATGAACATTAGATCCTGCACCATCATCACAATCACCATCAAGCTCTAATCCACTGTTGTTAATCCATCCCACTGGGGGTTTCCTCCTCTGACTTTTCACACATAATGTCTTTTTCCAAATACTGATCATTCCTACAACATGCCCACTGTTCTGGCCTCTAACAGAGTCTGGCTACACTTCCTTCAAGATAGATTTGTTTTCGCTTTTGATAGTCCACTGTAATTCCAAGATACCAATTTTTCTTCTGTCTTCTTTATTCATTATCCAACTTTCAGATACACAAGAAGCCAACCTTGGATCAGACACATCTTAGCCTTTACACTAACATCATTGCTCTTTGGCAATTTAGAGACATCCCTGACAATAGATTTCCCCAATGTAACACATTTTTTTATTTCTTGACAGTTTCTACCATGCAGACTGTAGATGCAAATAAAATGAAATGGATTTCGGTAGAGCACTAAAAATCATGTGTGCTATATCACTCTACAATTTATGTAATGGCTCACATCCAGTGCTTAAAAATGGAGGGTAAACACAATTACAAAGGCAGATCCCCCTTCCCAGGAACAGTGGGCTTAATTTGCCTTTTAAAGTTATATAAATTACCCTCACTTTGACACAAATGAATAAACTTCTACCTGCAACAATTCATCACAATCACCTTCTCTTGCTGTGTATACAGATTTAAATCTCTAAAAAGGCTTCAAACCTTTTCTAACATTAAAGGGTAAATAATTTAAAAAAAGAAGGTGGGAAAAAACCCACAAACAACCCAGACCCCTTGAACCAGCAGAGACTAAAGGAAAACTTGAGACTGTTGCCCTAAAATATTTTTTTAATTTAGAATGTCAACTCAGGTAAATGAAAGGTTGAGTTATAACATCTGTGAGTAATGAGTTCCCTTAAACAAGTAACTATGGGAGATAAACACTCAACATTTATCCAAAAGGAAAAGGCAAAGGGAAGCTAGATCAATGGAAACATAACGAGAATATACAAGGAGATTGCGAAAAATGCAGCTGATATTTTGAAACAATTTGTATAAAAATTGTTAAATGGGAACATAAAAATTAGTAAATTTTCACTTAAAATATTTTTTTAAATATATGATCAATATATTGTTGTTGTTGTTATGTGCCATCAAGTCGCTTGTGACTAATAGCGACCCTATGTACAACAGTCCTAAACTCTGCTCTGTCCTGTGCCAATCGCACTGCCTCCAACACACCCATCCCGATTACCCGAGTCACTGAATCAATCCACCTCATAGAGGGCCTTCCTCTCCTGCGCTGTCCCCCTCCATCCTACCAAGCAGGACCAGTCCCTCCTTACAACATGTCCAAAGTATGTTAGATGGAGCCTCAGAATCCTTGCCTCCAAGAAGCTGCCCAGTTTAACCCTTTCCAGGATGAATCTGTTTTCTTGGCAGTCCATGGTACATTCAAAATTCTTCTCCAGCACCACAGCTCAAAGGCATCAATTCTTTCTATCCTCCCTAGTCATTGTTCAACTCTCTGACGCATAACAAGTGATAGCAAAGACCATGGCCTGTATCAGATGCACCTTAGTCTCCAGAGACACCGTTGCTGTTCAGTACTTTGGAGAGGTCCCTAACAGCAGACTTTCCCATCGCAATAGGTCTTTTAATTTCCTGGCTGCTGGTGCCAAGAGCGGTGATTGTGGAGCCAAGCAAACTAAAGCTATGAACAATCTCAATCTCTTCACCATCTATCCTGATGCTGCTAATTGATCCAGTAGTGAGAATCTTTGTCTTCTTGACATTGAGCCTCAATCCATATTGGAGGCTGCAGTACTTGACCCTCTGCAGCAAGTGCTTCAGGTCCTCATCAGTTTCAGCAAGCAGGGTTATGTCATCTGCATAATGCAGATTGTTGATAGATGAAAGTTAAATATATCAATGAGAGCAAAACTGTAGTAAATGTTCTCCTGTCACTAAAATTAGATAAGACTGTGGCAACATAAAAATAACCATATATCTATATGTATGTGTATATATAAACACATAAGATGCAAGAAGTACTTGTAATAGTGCCTGACATATACACATTAACTTAATTGTCTCGTTACTTATTAGCTCTATGATCTCAAATAAGTTTTATAACTGGGGCAGTGGCCTCAGTTTCCTCATTTATAAAAAGGGGATCAACATAATATTCACCACATAGGGTTCTCAGTAGAATTACATGAGTAAATTTGTGTAATAGCTTAAATCAGAGTCTGGCACATAATATGCAGTTAATTTTGAGCTTTCAGCTAAAAGGTTGGCAGTTCAAACCCACCAGCCACCTGACAAAAAGAAAGATGAGTCAGTTTCCTCCTTTTACAATTCAGACTCAGAAACTCAAGAGTCAGAACTGATTTGGCAGTGGATGTGGTTTTTCATTTTTAAGTGATTTATTAAGGAATCCCTGGGTGTAGCAAACAGCTAAGCTTTCAACTACTAGCCAAAAAAACTGGCTGTTCAGGACTGCCCAGAAGTACCCCAGAAAACAGGCCTGATAATCTGCTTCAAAACATCACAGTCTTAAACAAAATGTATGAAAGCACATATGGGGTTGGTATGACTCAGAACTACGTATACAGTAACACAAGTACTTTATTGGTGTGCTTCTTTGGCAATTTGACTCCACCAGTAGCTCCATGAGAGAAAGATGGGCAACTTCTTTGGTTTACAGACTCTAAAAACCCACTGAAGGGTCAGCTGTGAGTCTGTTCTGACTCGATGGCAATGAATTGAATTTGAGTTTTATACTAACAGTAGGAAAAAGACTGGAGACACTAGGGCAAGGACAGAATTGTCTCCTCAGGGTCAGAGTAAAGAGTGAATTTCACAGGCTGAGTATCAGGAAGTCACTGAAGAGACAGTGAGTGATATCAATGAACATTAGGAGAGGAAACTCAAGGCAAGAAACGAGGGCATTCTAAATCTATCGAGAGTGGAACAGAGCCTAGGTTATGATAATTACAGTAATAATAAAAGGGGATATGTTATTTTCATGGCTTCAAATTGGTTCAAAGTAGTTCAATCATGGGTGAATAGCAAAACTGGGACAGATCTAAATTGCTAAATTTTAGGTGAAAAAGAACAATAACCAAAATGGGGAAAATTTCAGCTTTCAAGCCTGAGACTAGAAAGAGGCATAAAAAAAATTCTTTCAGGACTTATTTGAGTGGATTACTTCCAGGAGTGTGGAGAACTCCACATATTCAAAAATACAGTTAGGTCCTAACCTGGGAGGGACTGGAGAGCATTAAGCAAAGTGAACTAACTCAGTCCCATAAGGACAAATACTGTATAAGACCATTATTGTGAACCATATATAAGGATCCACGGGAAGGGGGCCACAGAGGGGTGAGGAAGGGTAGGCAGGGGAAGGTTAATCATAGGGTGGCACAATTTGATGAGTGGAGGGAGGTGTGGGTAAAGGAAATGGGAAAGATCTGGTGTGAAAAACAATGTATGTGAGTTTTAAGTAAACCAGTATATAACAAAAATTTTATTTAAAAAGTTTTTTAAAAACTCAAAAAAATGAAGATAAACCACAGAATAAAGGAACTTTTTAAAAAAAACAACAAAAACAACAACCAAACAAACCTAAAACCACAAACCAATGTAACAAAACTACTAGCAGGGCCCACTCTTTACCATTCTGGCACCGGTAAGAGCTTCAGATGCTATGCATTGAGCTGCCTTTGTTTTTCAACAAGTAGTTTTTAGCAAGCTATGGGCTCATAATTTTTCTTACTAAAGCTACCAACTCTTGCAGTATTCCCACATTTTACAAACCACAGGTCGTTCCAATTTCACTTTATTAACCAGGACTGAACTAGAAGATCTGATTCCAACCCTTGGTCAATTTAAAGGAAAAATATATATGAACTTAGTATTGGAATGACAGAGGAATAATCTGAGTCGCAAAGTTTTGATTGACACATGATACCTGGAAAAAGGGAGGCAGCTTTACAGAAAAAATATTTATAAACAAACTTACAAAGCTAAGAATATGCAAAGAAATACTGAATGTCACATTTCAAAGGTAAGGAGTTCTAGACTTCCTAAACAAAATGCCTCCAGAAGCTCTATTAACTTTGATAAATGTCAATAGTTGTAGAGGGGCTTCAGGCCTTTTGTTCATAAGGTCGCTATGAGTTGTGCTCAGCTCTAAGGCAATTGACAACAACAGTCCACAGGGAGTTTTGCTGCTAATGCAGCAGTGGTTGGCTCAGATCTATCAGTTCAAATTCATCATTGGTTCTGTGGAAGATGGACAATCTCCTCTCATTTGATTTACATCCTTGAAAACCCAACAGAGGGTCAGCTGAATTTGACTCAACAGCAATGAGAGATAAATGAGTGAGTGTTCGGGTCTGTACGTTTGTCACAAAAAGGTATCTTTGTATCCTTTATCTACCCCTTTAAATGGATGACTTTTCTAGGTTTTAATATGACAAAGGAATTCATTTTAAAAATAAAAATGGTGATAATATATGTACAAACACGTATACATATGTAAAAAGTGGCAAAAAAGACTAGAGGTATAGACAATAGAAATCTAATATTAGGCATATCTTGAACAGAATTACACTTGGTTTTATTTCTTCTTAGTTTATGTATATATTCTAAATACAAACTACACGAGAAGTTATTAAAAATAACTAAATAGGAACTTCTACGTATTCCTACATTTGTTTTTAAAAAAAATGTATTGATTTGCTTACAAAGTTCATATACACTGTGTTTCACACTATTCTTTATTCACATTGTGTTTCATATAATCATTCTCATGCATTATAGGTTTTTCTGTTTGTTTGTATTATACTGGTTGGTCCTACATTTGCTTTTAATACTGTGAAGAGTTAATTCAGAGATTCCAGTTTCAGAGTTTCCAAAAGAATCTGTATGTCTCTCCTTAATTTCCCCTGCTGTCAATGTGCCCCGTCTCAGTGTGTACACCTAATGATAAAGAGGACCACTGACCTTCAAAATCTCTTACTGAATCTTCTGTCCGGACCCCTGCCATGTTATACTGGCTGCTCACAGACTGAGAAAGCATTCCTTCTAATCTCTCCAGTGTGGCTTGGCCTTCTGCTGTTAAATGGGATAATCCTTCTTCATAGGTATAAAATGTAGGGATGTCTCCTTGCCCTTGTTCTAAACAAACAAAAAACCTTTTTAAGCTTACTGAGCAATTACAAAAACAAAGACACAAACAAAAATAGATAATAATGCAACTGCTGAATATAATGTACAATGAAAAAGGCTTCCATAATAATTTCCAACACTTATTTAACACCTATACACAGGTCTTCTGTTGAAGGAAAGAAAAACAAAGAAAATGTCCTTATCATCCAAGATGAAAAGGGATTTTAGTACCAACAACAGGGATTAGATATAAAACAGTGTTGTAGAGGTCAGGGTATGTAACCGAAGATGAAAATTTTATAGATTAATGCAAATTAATTTGATATTAAATTGTTTGGGTTTTCTTTGTTTTTAAAAGCTGCGTTTTCCCCCCAAAAGAAATTTGTCACCAAAATGGAAAAAGTTCTCAATTTATTTTTTTTTTAATTTATTTTATTATTTTTCTGTGCGTGTACCATCAAATCGTATCTGACTTTCACTGGAGGAGATTGCCCCTCCTTCTCCAGCAAAGCATCTGGTAGATTTGAACCATGTATCTCTGGGATTGCAGTGCAGATTCTTGCCACTAGGCCACCAGAGCTCCCGAAAAGTTCTGAATTTCAATATTAATTTGTACTTAAGGATATCTTTCCTGATTAAAATATCTGTCCCTTATAGAAAAATCTAAAATTATGGAAAATATAAAAAGGCTTTAAAAAAATATCTCACCAAAGATAAGAATATATTTACACATGTAAAGAAGAAGTCCAAAAATTAATGTCTCAGGCTAGAGAGTAAGTACACATGAAGGAAAGTGATTAGGATACCCCAAGTGGTAGGCATCAACCAGTGGAGGAAAGGAAGAGAAGAGCAGGTGTCTTGAGCTAGCAGATTATCCTAGGCTTGCGACTGTACTCTTGTCTGAGAATGCAAGGGAAAATATTCCCAGTGTATATCAAGTATAATCCAAAGCCCAAACCACTGCCCGTTAGGTGATTCCAACTCACAGCAACCCTCCACTGGGTTTCTGAGGCTATAAATCTTTATGGGAATAGCCTGCCCTGCTCTCTCCCGTGGAGCAGCTGGTGGATTCAAACTGCTGACGAAACTTTCATTTAGCAGCATGACACATAATGAACGTAGCATACCACTAGAGCTCCTTTTGGGGAAAAAAATTACTTTGGCAGTTTGAAGGAATATGCTAAATAAAGATTAGATGGTCCAGATTCTCAGGGAATGGGGGAGAGAGGTTTGTCTTCTGGTAGCGACTGTCTCAAGCTAAAAGTCCCTCCTGAAAACCCACTTTCCCATTTATCACTTATTCCTCCTGTATGTCTCTATGTATATTCTCCCTCTAAGAATCTCTATTTTTAACACAAAAATTTAGGAAGACCCTAAATTTTCTCAATTTGTCTGATGAAAAGGGCCTTTAAGTAACTGGGTCTCATACATAAACAGATACTTTAAAAGGAAGCACATGAAAAACAAAAATCACAAAAAGGAACAAAAAATCACTTTAAAAATTTATTTCACTAACCATGTGCTTCCACATCATACTCTTCTCCGTCATAATCATCTGAATCTTCATCCTCAGGGTCTGGATGCAAAGCCTGGCATTCACACATTGCAGTGAACATTGCTTCCACTATGCAGAGAAATGAAAATGTAACTTATATGTGAGTGGGTCAATGTACAAAAATGTAATAAAATAATCACCTATGTTAATAAAAAGTAGATAAGAGGTCACAATTATTTCTAAAGCCTGCTATATTCCAAGTAGGACTGATTTCTAAAGTGCTTAATGACAATAAAACAAAATAGTAAGTGAAATTTAAGGAATTCTTGAAATCTTTTCAAGGATGGCTGGAATTTTTAAGAAAAACAGTCAGTGACCTGGTCAAAATGCTGCCATCAGGAAATTAAACGGCCCTACCTACCTCTGAACTGGGAGAACTGTCTACAGCCATCCTGGTATTTTCCAATTTTTTACATTTTATTGTTATTTGTGTGTGTACCGTCAAATTTGATCTGACTGGTACAGGAGGAGATTGCCCCTCCTTCTCCAGGAGAGCATCTGGTGGCTTCGAACTGCATACCTCTGGGATTGCAGTACAGCTTCTTGCCACCAGCGCTCCCTCGGTATTTTCCATTTTAAAATCGCTATGATTCCTCTGCCATCCATCTGTTGAGACCCACAGTACAGGGCATCAAGTCAATAAAAATAACCTAAGTACTCCATTCACAAAACATACCAGGTAATATGATATTTACTATATTTTCTCTATCTTTACCACCTTTATAGTAACAGATCCTCAGTGATATTCTAGAAGTTCAACCAAAGGGGGAAAACGAAGATAACAAAGAAAACAGCTTCAACACATGTGCACATGCACCTGTGAGCCACCAGTGGTCCAAAGGGGAAAAAAATCAACTCACATGCTGATTTATCACTAGGCACAAATCTAAACTCAGCAATAGGTTCAACGTCGTCGTCATCATCATCACTAGCTTCTTCTTCATCAGCAACAGATTCTTTTGATTCTTCTAGAATGAAAATAAAAATAACTTTTTAATGATGTAATTTATTTCACTCTTTTCTAAATTCTTAGGAGCAAGCCTAAGAATATTTTCTAAAGAAAGCTTACTAATACATTAAAATACTGATATTCAGTTTTACTTTCCATTTTAAGAACATGGAGATTTTAGAACTAAAAGAACTCTAGACAGTCTCTTGACTAGTCACACTTTCACCAACTCCTGGGGATTCCAGAGTCCTCTTTGGGTGAGAAGCCAAGCAAAGCTCTAACAGGTATCACTCACTCACTCATTGCAGTTCAAGTCAAAATCAACTCATAGCTTATCCTCCAATGGGTTTCCATGTGGGAGGAGAATGCCCATCATTCTTCCCCTGAGCTGCTGGCCAATGGACCACCAGAAATGTGCGGCCTTTGGGTTAGGATCTCAACTCCCTAAAGACCATGCCACTAGAGCTCACTAAGAAGTACAGTTTCAATGATAGCTGTTTCTTTTATCTTTCACCTTAAAACAAATGGTTCATTAGCAGTATAAACCACTGATGTGAGATTCATCACAAACAATTTACAGATGGCATCCATAAAAGTCACTGACTAAACAGATAATTAAAAGGCTATAGAGCTCTAGTGGCCTAGTATTAATAACTGATGCTGCAATCCCAAAGGCACATAGTGCAAATCTACCAGCTGCTCTTTGGAAGAAGGATGGAAAATCTCCTCCTGCGTGACTTCTGCCTCTGAAAACCCGCTGAAGGGTCAGCTATAGGTTGGTTCCAACTCTATGGCAAGCAATAATGAGAAGGAGTTCTGGTGGACTATGGGATAGGGAATTGCACTGCCAACCCAAAAGCAGGCAGTTTAAATCTACTAGCTACTACAGCAGAGAAGAATGATCAGTACCTTTCCATGTGATTTACAGCCTCTGAAAACCCACTGGAAAGTCAGATCGAAATTTATTCCAATTCCAAGACCAGTGAGTAATAAAGAAAAATACATCTTCAACAAAGAAAACTACCACACTCTACTGGTGAAAGTAAACTTGCTGCAATCACTCCAGAGATTTGCATACCTAAAAACTATTTAATTTTATACTGCTGCTCCATGGGAGAAAAAGGGACAATCTCCTCTTTGTGATTTACAAAGCTCTTAAAACCTACTGGAGGGTCAGCGATGGGGTCAGGTTTCTCAACCTTGGCACTACTGAAATTTTGCACCAAGTAATTCTTGGTTTAGGGAAAGAACAATAGCTGCCCTGTGCATTGTCAGATATTTAGGTGGCATGTGTGGTCTCTCTCACTACAAATGGTCCCTCACTAACCTAATTGTGACAAAAAAAAAGTCCCTGGAGGACAAAATTCCTGGTTAAAAATTACTACTGTAACAAAGCCAAATCTAAACTCAAAAAAAGCCTAAAATATACTGATCCAATCTTCTAGGCATACCAAATAGAAATCCCGTTACAAACAGAAAAGAAATAGTTAAAAGGAAAATTCAGAAATACAAATCCATAATTAATTTTAGCTGTAAATATATAGAAAACAAAAGAAACAGAAGACAAACACCCAACATACATAAGAACTTCAAGTGTCAAATTATTTTACTATATTGAAATTTTATTTAATTCAATGGCTTAAATATTACATTGATTATATTCAGAATCTACTTTAAAAAATTGTACCAAGAAAACTCAAGGTTAAATTGTGGCGCACATACCTCCAAATTTGGCATTCACCATCACATATAAATGTTCTTGCGGGTAAGCATTTAGGTCCCTGGACACAGCATGTAAACTAATAGTGGGGTATTCCAGTGAGAATCCTAATCCAGAGCCATCTAACCAAGACAGGCGGCTGAAAAACAGTAGATTGTTTTAAGAAATGACATTCTCATTTTACATACCAACGTTTATGATCTTTATAATAAAAAGTTCACATTGAACACTTTCATATATTAAAACTTACTACTGTTTAGAAATATTTCTAAAATACGAAAATTTCAAAACAGGAATTTCATCTATTTTCAGTCAATTCTGATATGATTTCTTTACTTTTTCTCCTAAATTACATTTGTATTAAGTATGCCTCTTATTTTGTTCTTATTTGGAATTTCTTTAAAAATCATCATCTGTTAAACTGCAAATCTCTATAAGCTCTCTCTCTCCAACTAGTCCAGTCCATACTGGTATCTTTGCTAAATTGCACTTAGGCTCAGTAATACAGCAGTCAGTACTTAATTCACGGTGAAGAAATTTAAATATACCCTAAAAGCATGAAAGACAGTGAAGAACCTGAGATTGTTAAGAGCTTCAGTCTGCTTGGCTCCACAGTCAACACTCTTGGTACCAGCAGCCAGGAAATCAAAAGACGAATTGCATTGGGAATGTCTGCTGTCAGGGCCCTCTCCAGAGCATTAAAGATCAACGAACGATCTCAGTTTGGAGACTAAGGTGCAACTGATCCAGGCCAGAGTCTTTATAATTATTTGTTATGCATCAGAAAGCTGGACAATGATTAAAGATGACAGAAAGAGAATTGATGCCTTTGAGCTGTGGTGCTGGAGAAGAGTATTGAATATACCAGTGAGTGCGAGGAAAACACACAGGTCCATACTAGAGAATGTGAAACCAGGCTGCTCCTTGGAGGCAAGGAGTCTGAGGCTTTGTCTGACATACTTTGGGCATGTTGCAAGGCGGGACCACTCCTTAGAGAAGGACATCAGATTTGGGAAGGTGGAGGGACAGCTCAAGAGAGGAAGATGGGTGGTGGGGGTGAGGGGTGATGGGTGTGTCACAGACAATAAGGCAATGATGTTGGCATAGGATAGAGCAGATTTCAGGGCTACTGTACATAGGGTCGCTATGAGTCACAAGTGACGTGACAACACATAACAACAACAACAAGAGCATGTCAGGAATGCTATAGTAGAAGTAGTCATATTCATTTCCTTAACATTTTTTTTAAAACCACCAACGCAGTGTCCAGCAGATAAATATGCAGTAATAGTTATAATCACCAAATTCTCCACTATTCTACATGTCAAACACAAGAATGGCTATAACCACATACACAAATTTGAAAGTAATTATTTCACTGAAAGACAGATGTTACTGAAGCTTTTCATGTATTCTGCAGCTCAAGAGAAAGTCCGAGATGAGCAAGATCAAGTCCCTCCTCAAGGATGGTCCAACAATAGGATTTTCTGTGGACTGGCTACCTGAGTATGAAAAAAAAGTCAAAAGTATACAAAGATTTCTAATCTGAAAAACTGGGAGAGATCAAACACTAATAATGAAACAAGTTTTAGGGAGGAAAGCAGGACTATTATTATCATGTTATACTTGGACATGCCTACCAGGGTAGATTTTTTTTTTTTTTTTACCAGGGTAGATTTTAAAAATAGAAAAGAAACAAAAACAAATAAAACTGGGTTTTTACCTTTGAGATGCAGCTAATGCAATCACATTAAGGCAAGTAATAAGAACCACATGTTCCTAGCAATTGATGCACATAAAGTCTTTGATAAGATCCAAGATCCCAGCCTGATTAAAACACTCAGCAAAACAGGAAAAGAAGGGAATTTCCTCAACTAGTAAAAAGTATATGTGCAAAACTGAGAGCTAATATAATTCTGAATGGAGAAAGACTAACTAAAAACGTTCTCCTTGAGAATAGGGACCAGGCAAGTATGTTCACTCTCACCACTCCCATTCAATACTGTATTGGAAGTATTTCCAGGTCGAAAAAGAGACGGTGAAACTGTCAAAATATGCAGATGACAAGACAGTATACACAGAAAAAAACCCCAAGGATTCAATGACAACAACAAAAAAACCTGTTAGAGCTAGTAGAACAATATAGGAGACTGGCAGGATACAAGATCAATATACAAAAGCCAGTGAGATTCCTCTACAAAAACAGAAAATACAGATAAGGAAACTAGGAAAGCAATACCATTTACAACATCCAACCACAAACTGAGATACTTAGGAATAAATTTAACTAGAAATACAAAAGACCTTTACAAAGAAAACTACAAAACAGTTCTGCAAATAACAATAAAAGACCTGAAAAAATGGGGAAATGTTCCCTGTTCATGGATAGAAGTCTCAATATAGTAATAATGACAAAATTACCAAAAGGAATCTACATGCTTAATGCAATCTCAATATGTTGTTGTTTTGTTGTTGTTATGTGCCGTCAAGTCGTTTGCGACTCATAGCGACCCTATGCACAACAGCCCTAAACCCTGCTCTATCCTGCGCCAACCGCACTGCCTCTGACACACCCATTCCGATTACCCCAGTCACTGAATCAATCCACCTCATAGAGGGTCTTCCCCTCCTGCGCCGTCCCTCCACATTCCCAAGCATGATGTCCCTCTCCAAGGACCCATCCCTCCTGGCAACATGTCCAAAGTATGTCAGACGAAGGCCCAGAATCCTTGCCTCCAAGGAGTTGCTTGGTTTAATCCTCTCCAAGATGAATCTGTTTGTTTCCCTGGCAGTCCATGGTACATTCAGTACTCTTCTCCAGCACCACAGCTCAAAGGCATCAACTCTCCTTCTGTCCTCCCTAGTCAATGTCCAACTCTCTGATGCATAACAAGCAATCGCAAAGACCGTGGCCTGTATCAGGCGCACCTTAGTCTCCAGAGAGACACCGTTGCTCTTGAGTACTTTAGAGAGGTCCCTAACAGCAGACTTTCCCATCGCGATACGCTTTTTGATTTCCTGACTGCTGGTGCCAAGAGTGTTGACTGTGGAGCCAAGCAAACTGAACTGTGAACAATCTCAATCTCTTTGCCATCCATCCTGACGCTGCCAATTGGTCCAGAGGTGAGAATCTTTATTTTCTTGACATTGAGCCTCAGTCCATACTGAAGGCTGCAATCCTTGACCCTCCGCAGCAAGTGCATGAGGTCCTCCTCAGTTTCAGCAAGCAGGGTTGTGTCATCTGCATAACGCAGACTGTTAATAGATCTTCCACCAATCCTGATGTCACAATTCTCCTTATAGAGCCCAGTCTCCTGGATAATCTGCTCTGCATAAATGTTGAAAAGGTATGGAGACAGGATGCATCCCTGGCGTACACCCTTCCCAATTTTGAACCATGCAGTGTTACCCTGCTCTGTTCTGACTACGGCCTCTTGGTCCAAGTATAGGCTTCACATTAGCACAATTAAATGTTCTGGGATTCCCATTCTTCTCAGAGTCAGCCACAGTTTGTTATGATCCACACAGTCAAATGTGTTTGCATAATCAATGAAACACAGATATACATTCTTCTGGTATTCCTTGATTTCAGCCAAGATCCATCTAACATCAGCAACAATATCCCTAGTACGACCCCTTCTAAACCCAGCCTGGACTTCCAGCAATTCTCCGCTGATGTGCTGTTCTAGAGAAGGCAATTGACAAGTTTATTTGTAGAGGAAAGAGATATTGAATAAGCATAGAACGTCTGAAAAAGAATGGAGTGGTAGGCACAGCACTCTCTATTCTCAAAACCTACTACACAGCTGTAATAACATGGTAAAACAGCATGGTACTGGTACAAAGAGAGGAACACAGACCAATGGAATAGAATCGAGAACCCAGAAATGGACCCAGCTCTCTAAGGTCAACTGATACTCAACAAGGAATCAAAACCTATAAAATTGGGAAACAACGTCTTCAACAAATGGTGCTGGCAAAACAGACTATTACCTGCAGAAAGCTGAAGCAGGATGCACATGTCTCATCATACACAAAAATCAACTCAAGGTGAATCAGAGACCTCGGGGTAAAACCCTAAAGATTAGGGAGCTCTGGTGGTCTAGAGGCAAGAAGCTGCACTGCAGTACCAGACGCGTGCAGTTCGAATCCACCAGATGCTCTGCTGGAGGAGGAACAATCTCCTCCTGTACCAGTCAGATCTGATTTGAACGTACACACACAAAATAATAATAAAAAAATAAAAATAAAGATCATAGGAGACTAAGTAGGACCAAGCTTAGAAGGCCTAGGTCATGGTATAAAAAGGCTGACAAATACAGCCAGAAATATACAAACAGGAAAGGATAAAATTGATGAATGGGACCTTCTAAAGAATAAATCCCTATGCATATCAAAAACACTTTCCAACAGAGAGAAAAGAAAACCTACTGACTGGGGGAAAACATTTAGTAATACCATCTCAGACAAGGGTCTCATAACAAAAGTTTACAGAATCCTAAAGGGCCTCCATAAGAAGATGATTGATATTCCCATTACAAAATGTGCAAAAGACATAGAAAGACCTTTCACAATCTGATCGCACAATTTGATGGGTTGAGGGAGGGGTAGGTAAAGGAAATGGGAAAGATCTGGTGTGAAAAACAATGTATATGACCTTTGTAAGCAAACCAGTATAAAACAAAAACTTATTTTAGAAAAACCAACAACTGGGTATTCAGAAAACTAGCATAACTAATGTTTTATTGACTATGCAAAGACATTTGACTGTGTGCATCATAACAAACTATGGATAACACGAAACCTATACATCAACCAAGAAGCAGCTGACTGAACAGAAGAAGGGAATACTATATGATTTAAAATCAGGAAAAATACGTGTCAGGGTTATATCTTTTCTCCATACCTATTCAATCTGTACGCAGAGCAATTAATTCACGTAACTGAACTCTATAATAAAGAACATGGCATCAGGATTAGAAGAAGATTAAACAATCTATGTTAAGCAGATGACATACTCCTGCTTACAGAAGATCATAAAGAGACTACAGCCTTCAATATGGCTTACATCTCAACATCAGAAAATAAAAATCCCTACCACTGGCCCAACAGGTGGAGAAAAGACTGATGTTATTAATGATTTCCATTTTGTTGGTCCTATAACCAACATCACAGTAACAGTAGTCAAGAAACCCAAAGATGTGTTTGTTATGCTGAGAAAATCTGCTGTCAAGGACATCTCCAAAGGGCTAAAGACTACTGATGTAGGTTTAGAAACTAATATGCACTTGATCAAAGCCATGATAGTTTCAACTGTTTCCACTGCAACTAAAAGTCAGACGATTAATAAAAATAACAGAATTGATGCCTTTGAATTGTGTTGGAGAAGCAAAGAACAAATCTGTCTTACAGGAAGTACAATCAAGGTGATCCTTAAAGGCAAGAATAGTGAAACACTGTCTCACATATTTTGAGTACATGGTCAAAAAGGGCCGGTCCTTGGAAAAAAAGATATCATACTGGCAAAGACGGAGGATCAGAGAAAGAGAGGAAAACCCTTCACAATACAAACTGACACAGCAGCTGTTAACAGTGCGTTCAAGTACATCACAGTTCATGAGGAAAGTGCGGGATAAGGTAAAGTTCAAAGGGGCTCACAGAGTCACTATGAGTCATAACTGACTTGATGGCTACAAACAACAAAAACAGCATAATCAGGTCTATTTATTGAATCTATTTATAAACTGACTTTCAGAAAAGTTATAATTCTTTCTAATAAAAATTCACATTTCTGAGTAAGTCTGAGTATCAATTCACAGAATAAAAACACTACTCAGAAAACTGCACAAGAATCCAATAGATTCAGAAAGTAAAGGATAACTGCATGATTTGTGATGAGTATTACAGATAAAAATAAAGCAGAGCAAGGAATATAAAGGGCTCTTAGCAAAGGAATAGGGAGCTAATTTACACAAAGTGATGAAGGAAAAAAATTTCACTGTGGTGATGGGGGTAGGTGTGTCAGAGACAATGAGATTGACTCAGGATTGAGCAGGATTTAGAGCTGTTTGACATAGGGTCGCTATGAGTCGCAAACGACGGCCCATAACAACATCATCTAAATAAGAAGTAGGCTAGGAGAGGGAGAATAGTAAGAGAAGGACTTGACATGTATGAAAATGTGAGTCAAAAACAGATGCAAAGAAATAATAATTAAAAAATATTAAAGACTCATATGGGTGAAAAGAAAAAGCTACAACCAGGAGAAGATAACATAGATGAATGGGACCTTCTAAGACTCAAATCCCTATGCACATCCAAAAACTTCTCCAGTAGGGTA